ACCCCCCCCCCCCTCCCTTCCAATGTAACGCTAGTTACACTATGTTTGGTTCAAGGAATTTGAGAGATAAAGGAAAAGAAAATGAGAAGGAAAACTTTTTTTCTTGTTTGGTTAGAGAGGAAAAGAAAAGAAAAGTGGGAGGAAAAGAAAATGAGAAAGCAAAATGTATTAAGAGGATGGAAAACCAAATTCCTTCCATTTTGGTGAGGAAACTAATGGAAAACCATTTTCTTTTCTTTTCCTTCCAAATTCCATGAACCAAACATAGTGTTAGTGAGAAGCCACAACCCTTTAGAGAAAAATCTAAAATGAAGTTATGAACTTCAAGAATTACAAGACAAGATGGCAATATGAAATCATTATAAGATCATCCAGCTTTTGATTTTCTGGTTACAGGCGGTAATATAACTGATTTCAGATTCCCGGGGTAAGGGGTCCACAAACCGAACCCTCCCCTACTCTCTTTCAGACCTCCCTTCTTATTAAATTCATCCAATGATTTCACCCACTCAACTTTTGATGAATGCTCGCGGGTATGAGGGTGTAAAATGAAGATGGAGTTGTACTCACAGTTGGGGAACATGAACGCTTTGAAGATGCCCCCCAGTCTGAAGACCACATAACCGAAGCTCAACTGATCTCTTGGTGTGAATAGGTTAACCTCATTGAACCATATGCAACTAAACAAGTTGTTCAATGCAGTGTGTTCTCGTATTATAATAGCCCCTTCAGGTACATCTACACAATCACACCATAACATTTGCACGTGAGATATCTCATAAAGGCAACACAGTAAAACCATTCTTACCCTCATCCCGAATCGTCAAACACCATAGGTGGTTTGATCTTGATTTGTGGTTTAGGCTGTGTTTGGTTAGAGGGAGGGGGGGCAAAGGAAATGAATGTTCAGGATTAGATGGCTTAGGCTTTGAAAACCAAACACGGCCTTAAGGTTTAAACTTTGAAAGCCAACCATAACAGACCATAACTGACAAAACCAAACAAAAACCATCTTAAATGAGATGGTTTGGTTTTTAGGTTAGCATTTTTTTCAAAAACCAAAAACTGACTGACAAATTAGTGTTTTGGTTTTGAACACCTGATTCATTCATAGACGTCAATTCACTCACTCACCACTGACAATGCCTTTCTTTGGACTCCATGGTTCCATTCCTTCATAACGATATATTCTAATCTGAAGATCAATGAGTGGTCGAGCATAACGCTTTCTCCGTTTGTTTGAATCAGCTTCCTCATATATACTCCGATGATGTTTGTGCTGAGCAATGGCAAAGGTATGCTTGCCACGCCATAAGTATCTAAAGGCAAAACAAAAATAAGCACTATAGTTTAGTTGCTCTAATCACACAAGGTAAAAATGGGAGTGACTCAGTTTCACACAACAGGCAAGCATTTCCACTTATGTGAGAAGGGATTAGAAAACACAAGAAATATTTACTCTGAAAACAACATGGAAGAGTTCCAACAGATAAGACAACAATAATTAATAAATAGTTCGTAAAACAAGAAAATGCAAAAAATGAAACCTCAATATATACAAAAAAAAGTCATTTAAAACTGCCCGAAAGGAGTCAAGTTGATCAAAAGAATACTTTGGATGTTATTAGCCAAAAAATAGTGCCTGAAAGATTCACAAAAAAGTTACAAATCATGAACTTAGGTAAATCAACACATAAATTAACAAAAATATTTAGGTATGATTTATGATATATGACAGTTGTACCTAAATTATACGTACTCCATAAAAAATATGTACATTAGTCAAACAAATCTTCTTTTCATTTTTGTTTTGGAGTTAAGAATGACTGATTGAATAAATAAATAAATAATAAATATGTAAATAAATAAATAAATACTCCTAAATAAATATAATTTCTTAGTTTAAGTATTCAGTTTTTTAAATTATTGAAAAGGAGCAATATATAAATGAAGATAATTCATCATACTACAAGTAATTGTATAATATCACAGTACCTCTCAAGTATAAGCAATGGATCAACAATTAGCTCCATTTTACCATCAATCCAAATGCTGTATTGTGCTTGAGGGAATAGCCGATGGGTCAATATCTTAGGAACTTTTCCATTCCTCCTAGGCTCATCGTATGGTGGGTTTTTTAGTAGAACTAGACGCCAAATACCCACCCACAATCCACCATCATTATCCTTTCTGACTGTAGCATTTTTCTTGATGAAGTCAAGGGACACTTCATCCACTGTCATAAGAAAGCAAAAAAGTTGTTGAGATCGTTCACTTATGTTGGACGGTTGGTGAGGTGTATCATATCCGTCAAAAATGCCAGAAGCAACCACAAAGCGACACTTCTTCACGTATTCAACATCTTTCATAGCCATTTCTGCACCACCATTTGGCATAAAACCACAATGCACCTAAACATAGAATTATATTTCTGGAAGTGAACAATGTACATGATCAATTCATTCACTCTCACCTTTTTCCTTGATGGGTATACAAATCATACACTCCACAATTCATAAATGCAGCTCCAAAATTTTTGGGCTGCATCAGATAATGAAGGGAAATTTGCAACCAATGAAAAGCTTGAACGAAAAGTCTCTTAGAATAAATTCAAGGGGAAACTCCAAATATATATCTCACTCTCTCAATCACTTCACAAAAAATAAGGAAATCTTCCACAGGTTGTCTTTCGGGTGAAGCTTGTTCCAAATAAGTATAGCACTTAAGTGAATTAGCATTTCAAACTTCTGGATCTCAAAATTAAGATGTTACTTTAAGTACTTTCATTTCAAAACAAAAGAAACGCATATATGGGGTTCAATCCAGGCCCTCATTACATTCTCTCCGTGATAACATTGGAACTACATCAACTGAAAACATGACAATTATTAGACAGAAACAATTTCTTACTTTCATGCTTGGCTTCACTTTAAAACTCTCATCTCTTTGCTTCCAAGTTTGATTTCCTCCAAATAGAGGAAGTGAGCGGGATCCACTATACACTGTAACATTTTCCACAACATATGAGAGACTCTGAACAAACCGCTCTGTGGATATCTGTTCCGGAATAACTATATTATTTGGGTCATCTGCCACGGGAATCGGACAACCTATTTTATCAAAAGGAGATATATATGAGTAACAACTCCTCACACATTGCAATAGAAACATGCTTTTAAGAGGGGGGAAGTAGAGACTAACGGTGTGGTGGTGTCACAAGTCCCATTGTGTTAAGCATGCCAAAAAACTTGCTGTCTTTGTTACAAAGAGCTGCACATGACAAAATTAAACAAAAGTGAGTGCTGTAACATTATGTTACCGTGTTTGAGAAGGTTAGTTCGAGTTGTTTGAAGTGGCTTAGAGTCGGTTAGCATCCGTTAGTTTGTTGAGTGGTAGCCTGTGTTGATAAATACCCCCTTCTCTGTAAAAATCATCAAAAGAAATGAAATAATATCTTCTCCCTCAAATCCATTTTCTCTCTCTAATTCTCTCTGTCTCAGCCGCCATTGGCGTTCTTACAGATTTCTTTGAAGCTCTCTTTCTCCATTTTGAGTAGCTTCCTAGGAAATTGTAATATATTGATTGTAATACAAGAAACCCAATACAATCCCAATTCGGCTGGGGTAACGGGGTCGAGAATCAAGATGTATGTTGTCTTATCCCTATAATAACAGAGAGGCTTTTTATCAGAACTAGACCTGGCAATCGGGTCAATAGCTTCAGTTCCAGTAAAGATTTGATCGGTTTGGGTCTATTTCAAGTATATGTTATAACCAGTTACGTTATGTTTGGGACTGGGTTTAATTTGATTTTCTATATTTTTAGGTTCAGTTCGGTTATGATTCAGTTCAGATACAGTTTAGGATAAAATTGGGTTGGTATACAAAACGGTTATAGTAGATATCATTTTGAATAGATACACATTCTTAGGTCTAAACACACTCCTCATTTTATGATTTGTTTATTATTCTGTCCGCGTATCATTGGGGTATGATTATGATTCGGTTTGGGTCTGTTCAGTATGGGTATAATCAATTTCAGGTCTAATTCAAGTTTGACTCAATTTGTTTTGGTTCTGGTTCGGGGCATCTCAGATTTGGGTTATAGAGCGGGTATTCTTTTTTCCGAGTCATTTCAGGCAATTCAGTTTGAGTAATCGATTCTAGATCGATCTATTTTTGTCAGGTCTAGTTAAGACTATTGATGCATTGCTGCATTTACTATTTAAAACTACAAAGAAAATAAGAAGCAATGCATGGGAGTTTAGTATCAACTATAATAATCACAATACATGCCATTAAAAGAATTTAAAATATTGCGGAGTATCATACTATCACCCACACAACTAAATAAGAGAAGTGAGAACCTAAAATTGGGATGGAAGAAGCATTTAAAAAAAGGAATGAAAAGTTTCAGATCATCATAATGGAAACATCACAGTGTTCTGAGTTCTGCATTTGTTTTCAAATTAACATTCAAGCAAATTAACGCATAAGCAGAAGGGTAAACTGATGGGGAAGTGGGGACCTGAAAAGAAAGCTGCAGATGATTGGCAAGACCATAAATGAAATAACAACACAGTGCAGATGAGAAACATCCAAATAATCACAGCCACGAGAAGTAGCCGAATAAGGCCATTCTTCCACAATATCTTCATTTGGCAATCTTGATACGGCTTTCCACTCACCAGGAACTGGTCCTCCCCATCTGCACTTCGACACCAATAACTGAATCAATCCACGGCAGGAAACATGAAAGATCCCATTTATTATGCACACGCACATAGAATTGCGTTAAAACGAGAGAATAAATCACCGACCCGGAATGTGTTTACCTTTGGATTGGTGATTACTGCGGTCGGGTCTTCTACTAACTCTCAATGAAACTGACCGAGCAGGATCTTTGTCTATAGCCAATGTATTCGGCTGTAGTGCACTTACATGTTGAACCTGAACCTGAACCTGGCATCCATTGACAAGAAAAATCAAACCTTAGAAGAAGAAAATTAGATAAATTGGAGTACCTTTTAGGGGGGTAAATGCAACCTAGATCTGGTCTCAAAATGCATCGATTGCATTCTTTTTTCTTGCAAATACGGAGTAAAAGTTGCTGGCAAAATTTAAGATGTGTTTGGATTGAGGTACTTGGAAGTAGGGTGATGTTAAATTTTGTAGATTTTTTAAATTACTTTTTTCAATGTAACACCACGGGATTGAACCAAACTTTTGTACCCCGAGTAGATTTTTTAAATTACTTTCAATGTAACACTTTAAAATGAATTTATGAAAATATATGTAATGCGTCTTTTAACACTATAGAACATAGATATTAAAATCAAAGTAAAAAAAGCATTAAGCATTTGGTAATAACAATTCTTATATATAAATTCAAAAGTGAACACCTTAATGTCTTTTTTTAAATCAATATTTTTTTGAAGGACTTCGAGATATGCAATATTTTTGGTGTGGTTGCAAGGGTTTCCATTATCATCCAAATCTAATATTTTTAACTTTATCTTTGTTTTCACTTATAAAACAGCAATATAAATTTTTTACCATGAGTGAACACCAACGTAATTAAAAATAATTCAATAAATGACAGTATTTGACCTTGACTTTTGTTAATAGTAATAATAAAATATAAAGATATAAGGAATTTATTCAAAGTATGTGTCTTTTTCTCCAACGCGATTCTCAAAACCACAATTACACCGATAATGTTATTTCGCAGCTCTTCCAAAACATATTATTTCATTCAAAAATTCAACTGTAATTCAATCACCATAAACGCCTACACCTGCATCCGTTTGGCACGAAGAATCAAAACTCAAGTAATACTTTTCATAACTACAAATGAGGGACATGACAAATTCATTTATCATTTCAACTACTTTGAGAGTTGGTGCTAATAGTTCTATGTCTTTAATAATAATAATTTATCATATTGTATAATTTATTTGAATAAGTGAAGTCTACTATATTCTTGATAGGAAACTTGTGTCAATAATCAAGAATTTGGGAGAAATTTCAACATCACCAACTCCATCAATCACCTGACCTAGCTTTCCATTTCCAACTTTGATTATCCAACAAGAAAAAGCTTGTGTGTCATTACCTGCGCAAGAGGACGTAGATGAATGCAATTTTATATTCTTGGTCAACCTAAAACGTTTACAACATGACCATGATTTTGAGGAATTAACTGTAACACCAATAATTTTTGCTCTCGAAGCTTTAGGTAAAATTGGAAGGATCTGGCAAAAGTCACATTCGCATACAACTGTTTTTCCTCTGAATGTTTTGTTTTTGGAGTTACTATTAGAGAACATCTTGATGTCTCTCAGTGTATGATTCAATGTCTCAAAAGCAAATTTATTTATCATACATGTTTTGTCCTATATAATTAGACTTGCTTGTTAGAGTAATCATACTTTCGAGCTCCATTGTTTAATGACACGTGTTTAGAGCAAAGGGATTGAAAATCTCGAGTGTGCTATCCTTCCACCAAGCAATATCAAGACTCCAATGCCATTGGATGCAATATTTAAAACAATCTTACCATTCGAATTTAGAGAAGCAAATAATGATTCCGAGAGGAATGCTTTCTTAATATCCATCCTCTCTAAAAGGAAACTACGGAGTATAATTTTATTATAGATGTATGGAAGTAGTGTGTGTCTTAAGAATTATTTATAATAATTCATCTTTTTTTGTGACAAATATGTCCTTTTTTTCATTCAATGAATCAAAATTTCCAACTATTAGAGCATCAACTTATCTACTGTGGGAATATTATAATTTCTTAAGTCTCTAATTCTATTTCTCAATAGCCTCAGTGTCATTTTAGAAGTGAGCTTGATCATTATCCATGAAGTCTCAAGTTCTTTTGAAACTTTAAGCTAAAAAATTATATTATTCAAAAAGTTCTTCACTTCACTGGATCATTTAAAGTGAACAAATTGTTTATGTTAGTATGTAAATAGTGATCTGCAAGCATTGTGTTTTTAAACACATGTAAATGATACGTTTATTGAAAGAGTTCAGTTAATAAAGTGTTACTAATAAATAAATGCTTATTTGATTTATATGAAAATACTACGGAGCATATATATTTGTGAAAATGGATCACTATTACCCCGTATTAAATTTTGACCATGAGAAGTCAAACAAAGAAATTAAACTTTGGAGAAATAGAGTACAAAATACTTCATACAAATAGAAAATAATTTTTTACTAATAGACAAATGCTTATTTGGTTTATATGAAAGTATAATAAACCTTAGATGTATCTAAGAAATTACCAACATTACAATTCAAATTTAATGCTAGCTTTAATGAAATAAAATTCTACACCTATGACTAATTTATTGAGACTTAAAGAGTCTAATGGTACAAAAAAATAAAACTAGTCGTAGAAATTAATGGGATACTTGGGAGTTTGGTCCGGGTAAAATAGGCCCCAATGCTTTTCAGTCTCAGCCCCCGTTTTAAGATCTTCATCAAACATAGCAAACAAGTAAGCCTCTATGGGTTTCCCCGGCTTGAACGGCGTTCCGGCGTTCCCTTTCACATGAGCAATGATGTTCCTGTAATAAGCCACCGCGTTTTCAGTCTCCGCCGCCTCGCCGCCGGCCGACGGCCAACCTGTCTCGGAAACCACGACGTCGATGCCCGGGAACTCGGCGCCGGCGAGGGCGTAGTAGAAGGCGTCCAGGCTGGCGTCGAAGAGATTGGTGTAGCCGGCGGCGTTGGGCGGCTGCGCCGGGTCGACCAGCGCGAAGGGGAGCGGTATGCTGACCGGGTCGGAAACGTAAGCGAAGTAAGTGTACACATTCGCGAGAAGCGGCAGGTTGCGCGCCGCCAGGAACTGGAGAATGGGTACGAGGAACGTCTTGACATCGTCGGCGAACACGCTGGCGGAGGGCGGGTAAGTGTTGTTCAGGACGGACTGGAGCGTCGCCGTCGAGACTTTGATGACGTCCTGTAGCCCGGCGGCGGCCAATGCGTTGTACACGTTCTGCATGACGGGGAGGAGGAAGTTGGCCGCGTCCGGCGCGGTGGTCGGCAGGACCTCGTTGCCGACGGAGATGTACTTGAATTTGACGTCGGGATAGTTGCTTAGGACGACGGTGTTGACCCAGTCGTTGGCGGTGGCGGGGTCGGAGAGCGCTGGGAGATCGGCGTTGGGGATTCCGAGGACGAGTTGGATGTCGGCTCCACGGAGAGCGTCCAGAACCGGCGGGACGGGGTCATAGACTCGCATGGCAGTTATGCCCTTGGCGGTGGCCAGGTTGATCGCCGCCGCTTCTGGCGGTAAGTTATCTCCATTTCTACCGTAGCAAACGCCAATTGTCTGTGCCGCTGTACAAAATTCAAAACAAATGCTAAAAGTTAGTTAGATAACTTTTACTCCCTCCGTCGATGAGTATTCGGCCAGTTTTGACTTTTGGAACTGTTCATCTAAGCACTTTAACTCATCAAATTCTCTCAATGTGTAAGCCTAAATATAGTCATATGTGATCTTGTTTGATTTGTCTTAACATATAGATTATTAATATATAATTTCTATAATTTTTTAATATACAAATTACAAGATAAAATAGATTAAAGAAGTGTATTGAATGATGTGTAAAAATGAAAGTGGACAAATACTCTAGGACGGAGGTAGTATGATTTATATTTCCATATGATCTGCCATATACGCCTCATTAGCAACAAGTGTTGAATAATGATTGATTATTTTAATGATTATTCAAATTGTTTTTAATTATGTTTTATTTTAATAAAATTGTGTAATACTCCCTCCGTTCTCTTCCTCTTTCATTTTTTTTACTTCCAACAAAATACTTTCACTTTCTATTAAAAAAACCATTTTTACCCTTACTTTTTCATACCCTACCTATTACATCATACTTTTTCTCTAATACTCAATCCATTACATCTTTCTTTTAACCATCACATCAAGGGCAAAATTGGAAGTCAACTACCATTTAACACTTCCTTATTTTTACACAAAGTCAAAATAGGAATACTTTTATAAAACGGAGGGAGTAGATCAACTTTCTCAAATGCAGAGCATTTTAGAACTTTCCACTGTCAAACATTAGATTAAATATGACTGGTCATATTTAAGGAAAACTTAGTTCGTTTCCTCTCTTGGTTTTGAAATTCTAAACTAATGCCCCCTCATGACGGTTTAATATCAATTTTTTAACAGATAAGAATTATTTTATACTAATATATGTACTCATATCATATATTTTAACTAATTTTCAAAGTTCCCATCCAAGTTCAAAAACACGAAAAAGAAAACTTTATTTTTTTTCTCGCATGTCAAGCATGTTTGTTACATGTTGTTTAGATACACAATTGTGAGGGATGAATAGGATTTCAAAACCATGAAGGAGATCGAACAAAGTAAATTTTAAAAATCAAAAGGTAACGATGCATATTTACTAAATCTCCCATAATAACTACGACCTCCATCCCAGAGTATTTGTCCACTTTCATTTTTACACACAATCCAATACACTTCTTTAATCCATTTTATCTTGTAATTTATATATTAAAAAATTATAGAAATTATATATTAATAATCTATATGTTAAGACAAATCAAACAAGATCACACACGACTATATTTAGGCTTACACATTGAGAGAATTTGATGAGTCAAAGTGCTTAGATGAACAGTTCCAAAAATCAAAAGTCGACGAATACTCCGGGACCGAGGGAGTAATAAGCTTAATCAATAAAGTACCTGTATTTAAGTAAACCGTTGATAGGCCAAGAATAATGAGAAAAGCGGCTAATGAGCGCTGAAAATAGTCAAAATACAGTGCCCAAAGAACTCCCATTGTTAGAAGACAGCTACAAGACGCGTACAAGAGATGGGAGGGGTAAATGTGAGTACAAGAGATTTTATTTCATCTCCTAGAGGAAATATATATATGTATCTATAAAGTAATTAGCTATAGACATAGATAAATTCAACATCCCCAATATATAGAATATATAGAATACTTCGATCTCTTTTTCCAACTTTCCTTCTATTCAACATTAAAATTATCTCTATAAATAGAAATGTGGTAAGACAAGATGGAAAGATCCTTAATCCATGACAACATTAAACATACGAGTGTCAAAATTTTAATGACATGTGTAAATATTTACAATTGTTAAGGTAATTAAATTCCCGTGTAATATATTATTTATAAATAAGATAATTTCATACTTTAAAATTTTTAATACAATGTTATAAAAAGTATATTAATTATGGTACCGTATTATAAAAAGTATTAATTAACATGGTACCATGTGATAATTTTTAAATACCCTTTTATAAAAACTATAAATATTAATTCATATCCATATCCATATCCATATCCATACTTTATTTAAAAAGAGGGGAAGTAGTCTAATAGTATTCCCGCCCAAATTTTATGCCATTACATATGGTAATTGTGATGTTTAGTTGGAAAGTACACAAAGGCTATTAATACACGTCAATAATATTTTATTACGTAAAATGGAATCCATATCCATACTTTATTTAAAAAGAGGGGAAGTAGTGTAATAGTGTTCCCGCCCAAATTTTATGCCATTACATATGGTAATTGTGATGTTTAGTTGGAAAGTACACAAAGGCTATTAATACACGTCAATAATATTTTATTACGTAAAATGGAAATTTGTTTAGAAACAAAAAAATTCTGTTTCAAAAATTAAATACTAAAATTTCCGTTTCAAACTTTTAAATTTCCGTTTCAGAAAATGTTGTCATTACATATGGTAATTGTGATGTTTAGTTGGTAAGTAATAAAAGGTTATTAATGTCCCGCCAATAATATTTTATTACTATACCCAAATTTTGATTTCACCCAAATATGGTATCGTGTCAACACTATATTTTAAATTAATGGACTATAACTATTATAAAGATGGAAACAGAAAGTTTTTTATCAATTAATTTAATTCATCCCAACAAAATAATTATTGGGTTTCTAAAGGCCAAAAGGTATGAATTAAATATTCTTATCGTCTAAATGACCAAAAAAGGTAATAATAAAAATGGACTATAAGTTTTATACATCTACGACTTTTTAGAAATAAATTAAAAGGTAAGAAAATTAAATATCCTATAATATATATTTATGTGATATGTGATGAAATCGTTAAGTATTTAAAGATGGTAAGAAATTAAAGAGACAATGTAAGGCAACACACGGATTTTAGAATGAAAATTTGTTTAGAAACAAAGAAATTATGTTTAAAAAATTAAAAATTAAAATTTCCGTTTCAAAATTTTAAATTACCGTTTCAAAAAATGTTATGCCATTACACATGGTAATTGTACGTGATGTTTAGTTGGTAAGTAATAAAAGGTTATTAATGTCCCGCCAATAATATTTTATTACTATACCCAAATTTTGATTTCACCCAAATATGGTATCGTGTCAACACTATATTTTAAATTAATGGACTATGTTCCCACAAATTGTACGAATAATGTAATATACAAAGAAGTCTTTTGAAATTTGTAAAGCAGCGATGTTTTTACCGTAAAATAATATAATCTCTATATTCTATTACATCTCATTTTTTAGCATTAAGAATGATCTTAATTTAATAACGTTAAAATGACCCGTGCAACGCACGGGTGTGATACTAGTTATTATGATACCGTGTGAAAAAAAGTACAACCATGCTAGGGGTACACCAAAAAGTATACCCCAAGTTGTACCCCAAAGAAACGTACCAATATTTTAATGGTTCACACTGACACAAAATGTTAGTTCACCTAAAAAAATTGGAGTGATATTTTTTGTCAATGTAAACCATCACACTAGCATCACATTAGCACAAAATGTCGGTTCATTCTTTTGGGGTACAAAATGGAGTACAAGTTTTGGTGTACAAATAGCTTAATCAAAAAATGTATTCCATATCAAATACTTTTTGGTCCAACATTATATATTATAAATGAAGTTTTAAAATTTGGAAATTGAAATGATAGTGTGAAAAAATTCGATCAAATATTAATTGTGTTTCCATTTTTACTGTATACGTATTTTAAATAAGGTAATTTCATTATAAACAATGTAATAATAATTATAAAAAGGTATGTTCCTTTACGCGATTACCGTGCATAAAAAAATTTACGTCCTTGAAAAAACATGAAACCATTTCCTTATACACGGTTTTGGTAAGAAAGAATCATAAATGCACGTTAGTAATTAAAAATTTAAGTTAATACCCAAATGTTGAAATGGTAAGTAACACCAAAAATCGATCTAAAGATAATTATGTTTCCTTTTTTACTTTATAATTATTTTAAATAAGGTAACTTCATTATAAGTAACATAAAAACAATAATATTAAAAAAAGGTATGTTCCTTTTTTGCGATTACCGTGTATAAAAAAATTGCGGTCTTTAAAAAAATTGAAAGTGTTTCCTTGAACAAAAAATATATTACCCCTGGCCACAGTCAACCGTTCATCACCTCTTCCTCTACAGGCAGTCTAGTGAGTGGACTGTCCCAATCCAACGGTTGACCGCCACCTGCCAAGAAATATAGTTTATATGGACACCCCACATCATCAACAAAAAACCACCACTAACACTCAACCATGTAAATTTGTGTTAAATCAGGCATATTCAAGCCTAAAACTTATACCATCACCACTCTTAATAATACCCCCTCCTACCACTGAGCTTTGCACATACCACCAAGCCTTCAAGAATAGTTTTTAGTTTGAGGTTATGAATGAAGAATTTATAGCTTTGAATGAACAACGGACATGGGATTTGGTACCACCGTCGAAGAACCGCACTCGTATTAAGCAAAACGTTGATGGATCAGTTTCAAGGTATAAGGCTCGTCTTGTTGCCAAAGGTTATCATCAAGAGTATGATATTGATTATAAGGAGACCTTCAGTGTTATTGTTAAACAATAAACGATACGTCTTGTTCTCTCCTTGGCTCTTAATCGTGATTGGCCTCTTCATTAGTTAGATGTTTGTAATGCCTTTCTACATGGAACTATGGACAAAGATATCTTTATGGAGCAACCACCGGGATACGTAAATCCCCAGCGCCCGCACTATGTTTTCAAGTTGCGGAAGTCATTGTATGGCCTCAAACAGGTCCCACGTGTGTGGTACACATGCCTATTATTTTTTGCAGGGCCTTGGTTTGAGTTGTTGTATTCATGACACCAGTTTATTCACTCGACACTATTCTCTAGAAACAGTCTTGATCTATGTTGATGATAATGTCATTACGGACAGCTCGTCGGCTCTCATTTCTAAGGCTTACTCAGGCCATGCACCATGATTTTCGATTGAAAGAACTCGGTTATTTGCATTACTTCCTTGGCCTTGAGGTCAAACGCACTAATGATTCAATTCTCATCCATCAGACCAAGTCCACACGTGATCTTCTACGCCGGGCAAGAATGTCAGAATGCCACCCCATTGTTACTCCTATAGCGGCTCGACCTATAGTCATGTCCTCTGCTCCTTTCAAGGATCCCTCTCATTTCCATAATGTTGTTGGTGGTTTGCATTATCTTGCTGTTACTCGTCCAGATATTCAGTATGCTATTAATAAAGTGTTTCAGACTATGCACAACCTCACAGGGTAGAATTTTCATGTCTTGGAGCGCATTTTGTGATAATTAAAAGGCACTCTACACCTTGATCTTCTTTTTCGCAATGGGGGACTTGATCTATCTGTATACTTTGATTGTGATTTGGCAAATGAAAAAGATGATCGTAAATCTACCATTAGTTACATGCTCTTGCTTGGCTCCAATCTCATCTCTTTGTGTACAAAGACTCGTGCCTCTAGATCTTCCGCTGAAGCTGAATATTGTGCCATGGCTGCAGGAGTGGCCGAAGCCATGTGGTTGCGCTACATCACTGATGCTCTGGGCATTTCTCCATCAAAACCTCGCCTATATTGTGACAATGGGTCAACTATATGTGTGACCAAATTAAAAATCTAGTCTTACATGACTACATGAAGCATGTTGGTTCAGACTGTCACTTTGTACGAGATGAAGTTATGGCAGACACTATGACTCCACATCATGTTCCTTCATAAGAGCAATTGGCTGTCATTCTCACGAAACCGCTTCCGCCAGCTCCATTTGAGTACTTATACTCTAAGCTGCCCCTCGTCTCTGCTGATTAGCTTGCGGGGGATAAAAAAGGGAACAGAATCTTAATAATTAATTACTTTCACTATTCCTTTATTTTCTTATTGTATTACTACTATAATTTTTCTCCTACTTGGATTGGAAATCTCTCTTGTAATGTCTAAAATATAAGGAACTATTATTCATTATTCAATAAGGCCAATTATTATCAAATTTTATAATTAGTAAAAAACAATTAATTTTTTTAAAAAAGTGATATCAAGCCATTAGAAGGGATGTTGATATAAAATTTCAAAATTAGAAAATAGAAAAAAAATTGAAAGCAAAGGTGGTAATATAACCGTACATTAAACTCTCATTTTTAAAATTTTAGTTGGATTATGGATTTACAGCCACCTATCTCACGAATAATCTCTATAAGAATTCACTCCATCGATAATGCATTGATTTTTATTCTCAAAATATGGAGTATTCAAACTACTTCATTATATAACCTGCAAACCATTTCCATCGTCTCCCTCAATTTGTATGGCAACCAATTGATTCATGTTTGCCATTCCAACCATTCATTTTCCTTGGTTCTCTTAAAGGCTCTCAGCCAATTAATCTCCGTTTCCCCCCATTCCTGTTCTCTTCAATCCGTCATTGCAGCGGCGGCGGCGGCGAATTGAACCCTAGCAAGGGTGTTCCCGGCCCTAGCTAGCGCACATCGGAGACGAAACGAGGAAGAAATTAAATCCACAGCGGCCGGTCGGAAGGAGGAAGGGCGTGGGTGAGAATGTCGATTTCGGCGCGGCCGCCGCCTTCGGTGGACCAATCGAAGCCTGATTTCGACATGGAGAAGCTGAGCCAGGCCGTGATGTGCTTTTCAGAGACGATATACCGGGTGAATGGGGTTTGGGAGGGGCCGGATCCTCTGACGCCGATCATTCCCCTGTTCCTCCTCCAGATAATGGTGGCGATTCTCTTCTCCCGCATCCTCAACTTGGCCCTCAAGCCATTCCATCAGCCGCCCGTCGTTGCTGAGATCATTGTAAGACTTCATTCTGAATTTTTTTTCAATTACTAGAGAATTTTTTTTGTCACAAATTCAAATTTTCTTTTACAATTATTTCCTAAAATAGGAAATGGCACATTGAAAAATAATTTTTTTAAAAATCAAAATGTCCGTCAAACTACTTTCAAATGTGACAAATTATCCATCTTCACAGGCTAGAGGTATTTGGTTAAATGACCTTTTCACTTTCTTAAGAGCTGTTTCGAATCAAAGAGTTAATTGACCTTGTTTGAACAACTAATAAATTAATAATGTCTTTAGAGTTGATATCCTCTATCTCAGTTTGTGTTTTGGTTTATGTATTCTGGTGTTGTAGAACTTGGTATTTCTTTTTTTTGCTTGGGTGGAATGAAAAGGAGCATTTTCGGTTTAAATATTGTATTTTGATTTTAAAAAAGGATTTTTGAAACACTCCGCCCCCCCACCTAAAAACCAATCTTCTTTAGAACAATGTGTAAACTTTTTTTTTTAATAAAAATTATTTCTTATTTACAAATTGGTAATAAATTAGAAATTAGAAGCTCTTTTTAACTAACATAAAAGAAAATGTTGAATCCTTTTATGAGACAAGAATATAGTTTATTTAATTTAATTGTATTTATTTAGATATATAATGATTTGTTTAACACTTTCTTTTGGTGGTGTGGTTTTTGAAGAGTGGGATACTGTTGGGCCCTTCAGCATTGGGAGGGATCAAGGCATTCCGAAACACGCTCTTCCCAAACTACAATTTCGAGATAATAGAGACAATGGCTCACCTTGCCCTCGTCCTCTTTGCCTTCATGATCGGACTCCAAACCGACGTCAAGGCCGTCCTCCGCACCGGAACCAAGTCCAAAGCCGTCTCCCTCTCTGGCGTCATCGTCCCATTCCTCATTGGCACCTCCCTCTACTACTCCCTCCCTCACGACGACAAGCCCGGCGGCTTTGTCTTCTCTGGTGGCTCTCTCACCGTCACCAGCTTCTCCACCCTGGCCAACATCCTTGACAGGCAAAGGGTCATCCAGACCGACGTCGGGAAGGTGGCGCTGTCGGCGTCTTTGGTCTACGACCTGTCGTCGTGGGTGTTTCTCGCCTTCGGGTTGATGCAGTCCGGGAGCAACGAGAACATACATTGGGCCATCATTTGTAGCCTCGCGTATATGTTGTTCTGTGTCTATTACCTCCGGCCGTTGTTGGCTTGGGTCGTGAGGAAGACGCCGGAGGGGCAAGGCCATAGCGAGTATTATATATGCGCGTTGGTCATCGGGATGATGGTGTCTGGGATCATCACGGACGCCATCGGGACCCACCCGATGATCGGGGCATTCATTTTCGGCATGCTCGTGCCCACCCAGGCCCTCGAGTCCGCAGTGCTCGACAGGCTCGAGGACTTCGTCATGGGAGTCTTCATGCCTGTCTTCTTTGTCGTCTGTGGACTCAGGACCAATATCGATGTCATGGCTAGTAGCGTCGGCTTCTTTCTTGTGATCCTCATCGTGTTCTTCGCATTTGCCGCGAAGACTCTCGGCGCTCTTCTCTCCACTTGCTTCTCCGGCTTGTCGTATAAGGAGGCCATCGCCGTTGGAATCTTGACAAACACCAAAAGCACCATGGCTATGGTTATTCTTGAAGTTGGGCAAGTGCAAGAGGTATTTATATATGAATATGACCACTTTTTTTTTTTGCAGAAGACAAACATGACAACCTACGAGTTTTTATAAGAAACTTCACATTATTCTTAATGAACGTTGCAGGTCTTGACTACACAAACGTACTCAATATTGGTGATTTCTGTTCTAATAATGACAATTGTGGTAACGCCATTGACGACCATGTACCGTCCATCACAGAATTTAGTACCTTACAAACGGAGAACAATTGAAAAGGCAAAACCAAACGAGGAGCTACGAGTCTTGGCCTGCATCCACGCAACCAACGATGTTCCTCCCATCATCCAGCTTCTAGAAGCATCCAACTCCACCGAGCGGTCTCCGGTGAGCGCCTACGGCCTCCAGCTAGTGGAGCTCGTGGGTCGCGCCCCGGCAATGCTCGTCGTCCACACCTCAAATCGGCGTGGGGTTTCCAGAAACCTTAGCCACGAGGAGGTCCAGACAAGCCAAATCATCAGCGCGTTCGACAACTACGAGCTCCGTTCCGAGGGAGTCACCACGCAGGTTCTCACCGCGAGGTCGGCTTTCCCGACCATGGCGGAGGACATTTGTAATTTGGCTCAGGAGAAACGGACGGCGTTAATCGTCCTCCCTTTCCACAAGCAGCAATCGCCGGAAGGGGACATGGAAGAGACGAATCCGGCGATCCAGAGCGTGAACGAGGTGGTCCTCATCAACGCGCCATGCTCCGTCGGAATCCTCATTGACCGCGGGCATTCGTACTCAAACAACCCTGCCCGGAACATCGTCATGCTCTATTTCGGTGGCCCCGACGACAGGGAGGCACTGGCTTTTGCGAAACGGATGTCAGAGAAATCAGGGGTGCATCTCACCGTGATAAGGTTCGTCCCGGGAAAAGAGGTCGCGGAAATTGACCCCATGGGATTCTCCGGCTACAACAGAAGCTTCGTCAGCATCAGCATTGACGCCGACAAAGATAGAGAATTCGACGAACAATTCCTCAATCATTTCAGATCGGAGACGGCGGAGGACAAATCCGTGACGTACGTTGAGCTGGTGTTGAACGACGAAGAGGAAGCAATCAACGCCATAAAAGCCATGGATGCTCGGCATTACGACCTTTACCTGGTTGGGCGGGGGAGGGGAATCGTGTCGCCGCTGACGGCGGGGCTAGCGGACTGGTGTGACTGTCCGGAATTGGGGGCAATCGGAGATCTTCTGGCGACGTCAGAGTTCGAATCGGCGTTTTCAGTGCTGGTGATTCAACAGTACATGAAATCCTGCCGATCTGCAGAAGAATCTGTGCATTCTTCCGATCGGATGAGCCAGATGAGGATCGATAATGAAAACGATGATAACAATAACAATAAAGTGGAGGAGATGGCCTTACGGCGATCGGCGTCGGAGAATGAATCGGCTTTTGAGTCGTTCTCAAGCTTTAACGGGAGAGAGCACACCTGATCACCGGCGGGTTGAGATTTCCGACTTACATTAAATGAATTCAGTTGTGTTTAACTCCAAAAATCTTCAATAATCAAATCACAAAGAAAAAATTTTGATATCGATTTTTTTCAAGGTCATCATTCTTTACATCATCATGGTAGCCGAATCTTATCTGCAGAATTGCAGTTAGTGGTTACTGTCAAATAGGGATGTAAATGCACCGAATCGAAGTGAATTTATATTTGTTTAATTTTTTTGAATAGAAATCTGTCGTGCTGTCCAAAACAAATTTAAAAATTTATAAATAACCTTAGCTAACCCCCAAAATATAATCAAATAAAAACTATAGCTAGAGCAAGTAAGGGTCGATCCCACGGAAAAAATTTGTACGTTTTCAAACCAATTTAGCAGACAAACACATTGTCACAAAAATAAAACAAATAAAAGCATACTAACTACGGAGTACTACACATGATAAAACTTATGATATAACTTATTCAAATAAACATAAGAACTTATAAACAACTTATATAAACACAAGGGGGGTTGAAGAAAAAAGTAAATATTTTTTGGTTTTTTATATTTTTCTTCTTTTTTGATTTTTTGATAAAATGAGGGAAAACAAGCTCAAAAGATAATCAACTTTTCCAACTTAGGTAACCCAAGAAACACTGCCAAAACCCGAAACAAAATTAAAAAGAGAACGAACACAAAACGAACATTACATGTATAATAGGCACTTAGATAATATATTACGTAACTTACGCACTTAAGAATAGAAAATAATTCAAAGGATCGAGTTGATTCATATCCTTGACCACATATAGATGATTGTCAACTCTCTATAAGGAACGGAGTCAAAGATTGAAAGGCCTTTTGGATCACTTTGAACCCCCACTCACCTCAAGCGGTCAAAAAATGATTCCAAAAGATGAAAAAGTTTATAAAAGAGCGAATCTTTCTTTCATTCTAACTCCCATGCACAAAGTATTCATGAAGAACATTTGATACACTTTAATAAACTTTAATGTTTAATGATGAAAATATTTTGCAGGTCTCTTTGAACTACTCAAACATAAGAATTGTAGTCTATTCACATAAAAGAACATTACATATTTTCATTAAATCGAGAGTTGTTTATTGCATTTAAACAATCCCAATTTTTATGAAAATAACAAACAAGAACACCAAGGCATAAACAATCACTTTATAACGAATCTTAAGGAAAACGTCCAACTTATGTGGCTAAGAAGTTCATTTACCTTAAAATTTTACAAAACACAAGTCACAAAAAAGAGTCACGTATGAATTCGAGAATCATTTAACTAAAATATGTAGCTAAATTAGCTTCAATGATAATCGAATTCGACATATCAACCTACTTATGAAATCAATTTATAATTCAACCAATTCAACATCAATTTGCGCAAAAATTGAAGAAACCAGTAATAATCCATTCTCATTCATAAGGAATTTAATATAAATATTAAAAAAACCCATAAAATAACACCAACCATTTTGGAATTTTCGAAATTAACACAAAAAGGGAAAAAATGTAAATTTGCATTGAAACAACACTTTTACAAAGAAATTGGAGAAGAAAAAGAAATTGACAAATATAGGGTTACCAATTGGAGAAGAAGATGAAATTGAAGTAATTGGAGCTTGAAGAAACCGCCACTAGTCGCCGGAGCTTCTGCCGCCGCCCTCACCTGCCCTCGTAGAACGCCGGAGAGCCGTCGTTGGACGCCGTCTGCATCTCCGCCGGTGGGTTGCGTCAAGACGGCAAGAGCCGCTGCTCTGTTATTTCTGTACGATTCCCCCCTTTCTTGTTGCAATTCGTCTTCAATTTATAGGAGATTAGGAGTGAACGACCTTCAATTTCTTACCGTTGGAGCGTGTGGGCGAATTGAATGGAGAGACGTTGGAGAAGATATGCCGAATATGCGTTGAATGCTTCGCCGGTCGCTCGTTGGAGAAGATATGCCGAATATGGGATTTTTAAATAGAAAGTGGGAGTATTTTGTGAAAAGCAAAAAAACGAAAGAGGAAGGGTTTTGTGGAATGGAGGGAGTATTTCTTTGATTGACCAAGAATGGGTGGGCTAAGCACTTTTGGATAATGGATTTGGGCCTTTTTGCTACATTTTTTCTCCAAAAAATAAGATATCTGATAACTTAGTTTAGGAAAAATAAAAATAAAAATAATAAAATGTAAAAAGTGATTAAAAACTACTATTTTTTTGAAAGAAAATTAAAAGATTATAAAAATAAGACTTAAAATAAAACTAGGCTAAACAACTAAAAATTAAACTCTAACATTACTAAAAATGCCTAAAAAAAAATAAAAAGAACTAACCCAAAAAACATGTTTTTAATGTAAATACAAATTAGTACTTATTACTTAGCAAACTACATTAGTACTTAGTACCGGCTAATAGTTTGCATCACGTCTGGACTCCAATTGCTAGATTAGCGACCCGAATAAATATATTAGGCTGACTACATTAGTACTTATTACTTAGCATAATATACTCATCACAAGCACCATAATTGTTACCAAGAAATTACAATCACATTTATTAATCAAAATCAATCACAACTTGATGGGTGTATTTACACCCCGACCATGACCCGAGTTCGGTCTATCAGAAAGCCACCCGGGTAAATTTCTAAATTGGCATGATAAGTAAAGAATTGAAGATAAAAGAAGTTCACCCGGTCAAAGTATCATGGAACCTACTTGGGTGTGATTTCCATGACCGGATGAACCTGACACGATTTGACATACGACTGCCCTGAGCTTCTTGAAGCTCACCCGAGTGAGACTTAATCGAACCGAACACACACCTAGCTAGTGATGGGTGATATATATATACCCACTTTACCACGGTTTCTTTGGATCAAACCCACCCGAGTGTATTCCAACCTTGTACGACAACAACAAACCTAGCACGATAACCCAGAGTCTATTCAAGTGATCAGTGGGTGACCGATCAAACAGTATAACGCTGCTGAAAGGATCATCGAGTGATCAAGACGTCCCTTCAGAAACAACTTGGTGTACTAATTAACAGTACAATGACCCCGCATCATTCAATGGATATGAGACCAACTGAGAAGGGCCTAAACAATGCGCACCAGAGCAGTTTGGGTGAATCTGTCCACGGACAGACTTCCTAGACTTGTGGGTGGCTGATCGAGTGGCATGACATGGTTAGATCATCAAACGATATAGATGTTCCTTAAAATTTTTAAAACTTTTGAAGCTTTGCAACTCGTTCAAAGTTTTGCAATTCAAATTGAAGGATAAATTTTTGAAGCTTTGCAGCTCCTTTAGATTTTCGAAGCTTTGTAACTCCTTTAGATTTTTGCAATATAAATGGTGAAAATTAAGGGATCATACTATTATCGAAAGGTAATGACTTATTGAAATTAAGAACAATGAATGTTTGACAATAATAATATTAACCTTTAATAAGTATTTTTGAATGCGTATGATTATATGTTCATAATTGAAAAAATGGTTTACACATCACCATGACTAAGAGATATGTTGGAAAATATAATTAAGATTTTACAAAGAAGATAATACAGACTTTTCTGAAATAAATGGATTTAGCAGTACTAATGACTGTTATAAATATGATCATGTGTTCAAGAATTATTCTTTGTAATCTACGTTGTGGTACCACTAAGTGGTTTTGCTGAGCGTGCAATATTCTTTGTTGTGTGACTGTATATAGGTGATTAGAAATATGGAGTCAAATTCGAAGGATGTTGAGACATGAGAGTTGGTAGAGAGATGTGAGACTGTTACTAATATTTTAAAATACATGTACTCTTACCTGTAAACCAGTTGAATCTTATTTAGCTTCTGCAACATTTTAATTAAATTACTTCGAAAATTATTTCATCATGTTTGAGAAAACTATGTTTTAAATGTTTTTAAAATATTACTAATTATATATTTTTAAATTATGAGATGTTACTTTACCAAATTGCTAATGCTCTGGTTTGCTAACTTATGTAAATCGAGTTACGCAAATGAGGTGTTACAAAATCGTCACGCAAGCAACTGTCAATGTCTTCTCAACCATCACTCACCTATTTAAACACCACCAAACCATCCTCTTCATCATTTACCAATGCGAGACCTCGAAGCCTCCTACAAATTACCTAAATCCCTTCATCTTCATAGTCGTCGAATGATCTTAAACCGTATGGTTTTTCAACTCTTTCTTTCAACACTTTAATTTTGCCCCTCACTCTCTTAATTTCATTCTCCAACGCCTTCAATTTCTCAAATTTTCGATTCTATCTTTAATCACAAAATGGTGAAAGTCGATATGGAGCACTGGGAACCCGCTACCTTCAGCAGAAGTACAGTATGACCTAGTGGAGAAGCAATTCCTTCCCTAGGCTCCTCTTGCATAGTGGAGCCCCTTGTGGGCACCAACATTCTTAAATGCTAATTCCCTTCTAATCCTCTTATGATTGATATCTCCAATCGCCACCCAATTAATATCGTCGGGTTAACTAACGACCAATGTCCACAAGACCCTTTCTGCATTCACCCTTAAATGTGTGGAGAAGAAAGTTCCTCCTTATTATACTACTACATCATGAAAAAGTTAAAATGACTAAAAATATGTGAAAAATAAATTTAGATAAAAAAGAATGTAACTATTAAAAATTAACACTTTATTTTATTTGATCTATCTGTAACACGTAAAATATTGCACACATAAATTTGATTAGTCTAGTCAATTTCAACACAATCATATTGTAAAAGATAGGTATTATGTTTTCAATTAGAGGGAAGTAATTCAATTATGTGTGAAAAGAAAAAAATAAATAAATCTGGACACATTAAGTAACAGTCTATATTTAAAACAAAATCATTTAACATATAAAGTGTAATTACAAGTATATCATTTTACAATTAACATTGCTTAAATAAATTGAAGTATAACCACTAAATACTTTTTAAATATTTTGTGCTAACTTTATAATATTAATTAAAATTTATTTTGTGAAAGTGGCGAATATTTTTTGTATAGATTACGACATTATTTTATTTTTTTATCATCTTATAGAAATTAATTAGGATAACGATGATTATGAATATAATAATAATAAAAATAATAGTAATAATAACAACACTAATAATAATGTTAACAATAATAATAATAACAATAACAATAATACTTATAATAAAAATAATATTGAAAATACACTTAAATAATTTGTTATAGCTCATTCTAATTTTTCAGTTTTCTTATCCTAATGAGACACACCAAATACTTCTACTTCTACTAGGACTTTAACCTAGTAAATTTCACATATTAGAGAATTTTGATTTCAAAAGTATTTAAGGAAATATTGAGAAGGCAAGTGATGATAAGATGAGGTGAGATTTGGAGGCGAAAGAAAAAGACAGTATCGGACGGAGAGACAATAAAAAAGCGATTTTTAGGAATATCGTTTTCGATTCCACTCGCATCTCCGCATCCCTCAATTTCAAATCTTTTTTTTTTTTAAAATTGCTGACAATCACCATCACATCTCTCTTGCGCTGTATCTCACTCAGCTAAAAGTTGGGATTTTCATGCCAATAATAATCGAAGCATACGATTAGACAGAGAGGAGAAAGATTGAATGGTTGGTGGGTAAGGGAAGAAGAAGAAGAAGAAGAAGAAGAAGAAGAAGATGGAGGGATCGAGAGAAGCGGGTTGCTATCCAGAGGTCTTGGTGGGAGTGAATTCGGGTCTTGCTTTCGTTGATGCTGTAATTGCCGTGCTCTCATTCACTCAGGTACTTCTCCAACCCCAATTCCGATTCATTCATGGCTTTTGGTTTTCTCCCTTCGGGTGAATTTGATTGTTTGGAGGATTGGAGTTTTATCAGGCTAGGATTCTTCATATAAGTGCCTTTTCCCAGTCCCCTAAATGTGCCGTTTGGGCATTCTGGGCTCCCCACCCACACCCCAATCTCTTGTAAAATTTGGAAAAGTGGGGTTCTTTTCCCACCATGTCCTCCCATTAGTGCCTGTCTCCGTTGCCGTCCATGTAACTTAGATTCTATGTTTGGTTTGTGTCTGTCATTCATGTGTTTCGATTTCTCTACTGTGTGCATGCATATATGTATAAATGGATGTTTTATTCGCGGTGGGTTTGGGAGTTTTGCACCTGAAACTGAATGTGTTGATTTGTCAGTCGTAATTTCTTTTGAGGAAGGAGGGATGGAGGGATGGAGGTTTTTATTTGGATTAGAAAGTCGAGTGCTTTCCGCTTAACCTGTTAACTGTATCATTTTTGTATTTTCTCTTGTGGAGTTTGGATTTGAGATTTAATTTTTTGTACATACAATTGATGCATAATGTACTTTACACATTGGCAAAGAAAATGGATGCTGAAATTGGAATTCATTGTAGATTGATGGTCCTTAAGTCGTGATAAGAAATTTCTTTGCACTCTGTATGAGATGTTTATTGTGTATCTAAACGAAGCCAACTGGTGGGCTTGCAGAAGAAAAATAAGGGTCCGCTACTACCAGGATACTTCGTGGGACTTAGTTGTCAATGTCTAAAAATATTCTATGATTGCTCATGCCATTTGCGAATATATTCTCCAGACTTGCTTTCATTTTTTCTTAAATCACGTAGAGATATTTAGTACTCCATCTTAGCAGTATGTTTATAGCTTGGAAAGCTGTGTAATATTCCGTAATATTTTCCCCTAATGTATGTACCGTTGATTGTTTCAGCTTCTGAGAATTCATTCTAGAAATGCACATGTTGGATGGACTCGCCAAAAAGTAAGACAAATAATTTTCATTACGCCTGATTTTATGTTCTCTCTCTCTTGGATCTGAGAATAGCACAACTTCATGGTCCATGGCTGTATTTTTAAATAAAGAAGTTCAGCATACTATTTACTTATATTCAACATTTTTTTTACATTTTCAGGTATTTCATGTAATGATTGGGTTGTCAAATTTGGGTAAGGTTATATTATTTAGTTGGTGGTGTAACTCCTCCTACCTGTGTAATGGAAAAATTCAAACACGACATACACAATTGCTTGAGCTTCATAAATGCTGATTTCCAGGCTCAGTGTAAAAATGTAATGGGCTTTGAGTAATCCAAGCATTCTATATTCCTGGACTTTCAGAAATCCTTCAAACTTACTGAACCTTTTTTGTTCCAATGTACTTTTTTTTGAAAAGAAAGAGTCGCATGACACATGTACACAATGATAGTAAGCTCTTGCACAAAATGATTATATAGGTTTTGATATTTGCAGGATATTTTCTTTACTTTGTGTTGGCCCCTGTCGCTGCTTGTGATGATTGGGTTTGTTGGTCTCAGTCCTGTGGTTTTTTTGCCATGGGTAAGTGCAATGTCGTCATTTCATTTTCAGTTGTTTAAAATTATATGTTCATGGGAAAAAGTAATAGCATAGTGTAATTAAGTTCAACAGTACTTACTTACTGTGTTGCAGCTTGCCCCAAAATTCTTTTTCTTGGTGCATTCCTTCTCCTTCTTTCATTCTGGTATGCATTTTCCTATCCTTCGATTTATTTTTTAATTGAATTCTCTTTTAAATCTTGGCAAAACATGGTTTGCCAATGTATTGTGGGTACTTCTCAATCTACTAATTAAATTTGGGATACTGTGCTATTTTCAATGTGTTGCCCTCGAACATCATTTATAGGCAAAGTAGAGAACCAATTACAAGTTCACTAAACACTATAAACCATGATATATATGATTGATAAGCTGACAGTGTTTCTTGGTTCGAATAGGTTGCCATATCGGCAATGTTTTTGATAATGCAAGTTAATTGAAAAAATTGCAAATTAGCTATTTTTCAATGTGATTATAAGCTCCAAAGTCCAAACTCTTTGCTAATTGTGATTTAACTATTTAAGATAATTTGCCATAGTTGCCTTTTTCCGAATTCGACATATTAAGTTATGTACTTCAATTATGAAATCCAAGCATATTATAAATGAACCAAGTTAAATAAGTAAGGGTATTGGAGCTTAGATTTGCCTTTCTGTGCTGTTTTTAAAGAAATTTTAAAACCATGCACACCCATTATCTTTTAAGATACTCTGTAGTTATAATTTGTAACTCACTGTATTCTATTCTGTAGAAATGAAGCTTAAGTTTACAACTATATCAGCATGTGATTTCAAGTTAACATGGCCTTCTTTCATTCCTTTGGTAATTCCAACATGTTTTTTTCCAAATCAATAATACAACGTTTTGTTGAAATATTCAAGGGTTGACCTTTGTCATCAGTCAAACGGCGAAGAAGATGATGATGATGATGAGGGATATAGTCCTCAAGAGTCTCTGTTGGATAAGACCAAACCATATTTAGATGTTGATAGCCACACCAACTGTTGCTCGTTCCATGCAATCCATGTGGGAAGTCGCCAGAAAGTTGTTATACTGGTATTATATTGAATTTACACATGTCTTCTATATAAAAAGTAAAATAAATAGAGACAAATTACATTTCAGTTGTATGTAATCCCCGTCACTTCTTTTGGCCAGGTCACGTTTTTGGTTTTTGTATTAATGCTGACAGCATCTGCACTAATATGGATTGGGAGAGGGGAAAATCCTATTGATTCATCTGTTGTAGCAAGGGTATAATATATATATATTGTGTGATCTTACACTTATTATTAGTTTTCTTGATAAAGTTAAATAAAGATTTTAGTTAATCATCCAGGTGTATGTAGATCTCTTTTCTATTTCAGTGCTTCTGTTGGGAGCAGCATTGGCATGCTATGGTAAGCATCCCCTTCTTTGTATAACCCGAATCCTTCCGCTTCACAGATTTTGATGGTGAAATTCCGAGCCACCGAAATCTGTGAAGGACGAAATCATATCGAAACTCAGTGAGTTAGATCCACTGGGCGAATGAGATTTAAAAGGGGAAAAAGCCGTTTCAAATTCACTAACTCAGAGTTGATTGGAACCACTAGAGAGACTATATTTATATGGAAAGATCTTGGCCATTATGTCCTTCGATCTGCTGCCTTTTTTGAATTGAAACTCCGAGTTGTTAGATAACGGGATTAGAGATGAGGCAACATAGGTAAGAAGTGGCCTTAGTGTTTCAACAGAACGATTTTTGTAAAACCTTATAGATGTTAACTTCATAGGAGAACGTAAACTGAAAGTGTCAAGGTTGAGACCGTTATTTATCTACTGCCAATTTGCCATTTCAACTATAAGAAACTATACATGTAGCTGTTTTTAGGTGCTTTCAAAAGTTCATTTAGTTTAAATCAACATTTTATGTTTCTTATGGATCTGTGACTAAGAGCTCATTCACAGGTGTACAATTATATATGTACTGTTCATGCATTAACATTTTGTGTTGAAAAGCTTTCTTCATTTAGTGTGCTCTTGTGACCATTTAACTGAATAAATGTGTATTTCAGGTCTTGTGTTGTTTCTGAGAATGAGAAAAGTCAGATCCGAAAGAGCCTCGTCAGAAATGTGGAAGGTGACTACTAACTAATATGTTCTTAAACACAACTGTTTGCATTTTTTGCATTGGTATGTCACATGGGTATGTGAAATGCCATAGATACCCAAAAAAGTTGATATTTTGATTAAAGTTTATTCCCAAAACACTGTGTTTCACGTGTTCTGTTCTTTGGAGTAAGAGTAAGGTCTGCGTGCATCTTACCTTTCCAAGACTGTACTTTTGATTGGGATATACTGAGTGTGTAACTGTGTTTGGTTTGATTTGGGCTGTTATTCAAAATTTGAGATAACTTATTCTAATAATGTCCTATTAAATTGCACTATCATATGCCTGGTTGCCTCTAACCAAGAAAATGTTTGTTTTAGGAAGTATAAGGTTCCAAAATATAATTCTCTTTAGAGATATGATGTCTTTGTGCTGCATGCAGGTTGCAGGGCTGGCCAGTGTTTCCATTTTATGTTTCTCTTCAAGTGCATTTGTTGCTATTTTTACAGATATACCTGTATGTCTCCTTCCGACTTTATGAAATTTTGCTATAGCTCCGGTTTTATAACTTTTATCCACTTTTTTTTACTGGGAGTAAATGTCTAATTATTGCAGCTGCTTTATCACTGGCATGGACAACCGATAAACAGCGTCAGTACACCGCTTCTCTTGGTTTTGTACTATTTTTTAGGTACGCTCTAATTTTCCACCCTTCCATCTCATATGGGGCCAAAGTTCTTTGATTAACACCGGATGAACAAATTCAATCACTTTATGCATATGGTGATTCTAGATAACATATTCGTCCAGAATAACAGCAGTGGTGTTTTACTTCCTGAAGTTCTTCAATTGTTCATTGAGATGCCCATATTATCCTCCCTGTTGGTTTCTATGAATCCTTACTTAATTCATGTCTATTAATTCATGAAATAACACACATGCCTTTTAATAGCAGGATGGTTAGGAAAACACAGTAGGGACATAACACACACCAAGACACTAGGGTAGTGTTGTTACACATGTTTTGTTCAAATTATTTACCTTTTCTCTTTAACAATATTCAAGCTTTACTTTAGCTGATGCTCCCTCCCGGAAAAAGAAGCCTTGCTTCAAGAACTTGTCCCCAACAAAGTTAATTTTCAACAAAAGCAGCTAATTCTGCATGTTTTTTAATCCATAACCATCTCAACCAACAAATAATGTTAAAACCCAAAACCAAGTTTGATGATTTGTAGGAATTGTACCTTATCAAAATTTAAAAAGATGTACATTGAGAACACAATACTCTCTATATGGGACGTATGTAGTAATGCTTAATTAGCTGAATTCAACCCCCTTTTTTCTCAGAGTGTTCTGCTGAATGCTGGTTATCTATCTTAAACAAGATTCTCGTACCCCTTTTATTTTCTCATGTTTTCAAATACTTATAATATATGCGGAACATTTTTCAGTTAACTAGGGGGTGTATGAACGTTGGCAGACTTTATGTGCACAAAACGAAAGGGCTTGAGATGTTGGTGATTATATATTCTTAGGTGGCTTGTCAAGAAACCTGTGGCTCTGTTTGGCCCTTTTTTTCATTTTTTGAAGAAAATGGTTTAAATTCAATCTAAATGGCTCTTGTGGAGAGGTCATGCTCTTACAATTCTTGGTTGAATTTAGACATCCTAATATATGTGTTCTGGTTTCAGGCTCTTCGGTACCATCTGCATTTGTGTTGTGGGTTATGAGGGAAATGCCACCTCCTCTTGTAAGGACACAAGAGCGAGACGAATCAAGGACGTTAGCATTCATAGGCGATACCTCTGTCACAGTACACCCTCAAAGGTGGACTGCCGTGGCAAGCATGCAAAATCAGGTCTCGTTATTCGTCCCAATTTTCTCTCTGTGCTTTCTTTTCTTCCTCCAAGTGAAAAAAAGATTGCATCTTTGGAAATTCAGAAAGTTATGGACTCATCATCCCATTCATGTGTTTTAGCCTTTTAGGTGATACCTGTTTGTTTTAGTAGTAGTAATCCATTGATGGCAGGTATCAAGAGCAAGCCCCATATGAACATATGATCATCATGTTGCTGCCATGGATGATGAATGAGTGATAGTTGGATAGATGATTTTCAACCCAAAGGGCATTTTGACCATTTTGACCCTCCCACCAAATTGCCATAGTCTTACTACTTTCCAATGAAGGCTGTTAAGGAAGTGAAGAGAGACCATACCCAAGTGTGTGGTGGGCCCTACTATATCCAAGATTGCCCAATGCATAGCTCCTTGGACATCATCTTGTACATACACAGCTGCTAGCATGCCCCACCTTTTACCTTCTGTTTATGTTGTTGCTAATTATAGGTAATTTATGGAATCTAAAATATGGGATTTAATTATTAGCCAATATTTACTATTCTTGTTAGTTGTTACTCCTGTAAAAAATCTATTGCTCACCCACTTGGGGATTTCATGTTTGTTTACCCCCACCTGGTTATAAATGAAGTGAATAATTTTTATTTGATTTTCTACTTGATACCTAATGATTCATATTTGGAGAACACGAATTAGAATCAGAATACAAATAATTACTGAGAATAGAAATAATTACTGAGTATTGATATTCACAACATTTTAAACTACGAATAAGAACATCCGAACATGTATACATTTGATTCGATAAGTTTTTAAATACCATCTCAGTCCCAATTTGAGCTGTTTGTTTTGGTTTATTCTAATGTATGACCGAAGTTATTTTTAATTCAATCTAAATGAAATTCAAATGAAATTAAAATATAAAATTTATATATTAAACAAAAGTTTTATAAAACGGTGACATAATTATACTCCCTACATTTCATAAAATTCTTCCTCTTTCGTTTTTTTTTGAATTCCTTAAAACGCTTTCACTTTCTATTAAAAGATCACTTTTACCCTTACTTTTTCATACCCTACTTATCACATCATACTTTTTCTCTAATAACCAAACTATCACATCTTACTTTTACCCATTACGTCAGGGCAAAATTGGAAAGTCAACCAAAATTACACTTTTCTTATTTTTGTCCAAAGTCAAAAGTGGAAGAGTTTAAAGGAACGGAAGGAGTATTATTTAATGAAATGAGTAACAAAAATAAGTAAAACTATTCATATTATTTGTGTAGGTTTATATCGTCTACTTAAAGCCATAAAAACTGTACTAAGCCAGAAACTGTCCTGGCTCAAAATTAACCTCCTGCAAAATCGCCTAGCAAACGAATCCTTGCGAGATAAATTTGGCTTTGTAGCCCTGCAAGAAATTAGTGAGTATTATTACTACAGACAATTCTTGATTGGTTGGGGGAAAATATTTAGTGAAAAAGCTCAATATGGGTCAAGTTGTTGGAATGGAGAATCAATATGAAACCTTACATTATTTATATGTCCAAAAAAAACATTCACATTTCTACTTTTTCTTTAACACTGTTTGGTTCAAGGAATTTGACAGGAAAAAGAAAAGAAAACGAGAAAGAAAACATTTTTCTTATTTGGTTAGAGAGGAAAAGAAAAGAAAAGTGGAAAGAAAAGAAAATGAGAAAGTAAAATATACTAAGGGGCTGTTTGTTTCAGCCTCTTAATGGTTCAGATGTCTGAATGATTCAGCACTTAATGGTTCAGACTGTTTGTTTCAGCCTCTTAATGGTTCAGATGTCTGAATGGTTAAGAGATTTGCCGCTTAATGGTTAAGTATTATACAGAGTCTGAATGATTAAGACCTCTTATCTGAATTGATCAGACATTTGCCTCTGAATAGTTAAGCAATATACTAGCTCTTAATGGTTCAGACATCTTACTGGTTCAGCACTTAATGGTTCAGACCTCTTACTGGTTCAGCACTTACCGATTCAGAAGTTGCCAAACAGCCCCTAAGAGGATGGAAAACCAAATTCCTTCCGTTTTGGTGAGGGAAATGAGAGAAAACCATTTTCTTTTCTTTTTCTTCCAAATTCCTTGAACCAAACATAGTGTAAGAAAGGAATGTGGCTTTCAAAATTTCTTTCTTCTAAACTAACTTCAACCACATATTCACTTTTCAACACAATTTTTGAATTCCATAAATTCGAACAATGAAATTCTTTGTGGGATTAAGTATATTTTTTCAGGTTTAGGTTCAGTATAAAACATTATCTTTTCGTCACATTTTACAAAGGCATCGTCTTCTTGCATATCATAGGTGAAATTGGGGGTTAAAGATTTGAAGCAGATGTTCTGCTACTCCCGGCAAGGAACATGGACGAGGAATCAAAGAAGAAGATAACCTAGTCGCATTGTGGGTTGTGAAGATGTTTTGTCGTCCCTTTTGTCTCAAATCCGTGGGTCATTCCCGGTGGAGACGAAATTGGCATCGTCTTCCAGAAGATATACTGTGAAAGAGTGAGGCAGAGATAGGAAAGGATATTAAGATGGGAATTAATCTGAACCGTTGATGAGTTTAGATGTAGATTTAATGGGGTTAAAAGTTTATTCAATTTGGAGGGCAGAAATGTCTAACTACAGCATGAAATTTTACTAAAAATGGAAAGTTGACATATACACTAGGACAAACAAAACATGAATACTAGACGAAAACACTAGATGAAAACACTGGGACGGAGGGAGTACATAAATGTGATTTCTGTGATTGTTTGTAAGATTAGTAAACAATATCTGAAAAGAGTAAACATGCCTTGGGGTCAATTTCCTTGCAAGAGGATCATCAAGGCATACAAGAGACACTTTTATGAACGTAGGAGAACCTCAAGACGCATTCCTTCCTAGTGTCAAAGCCTTGGGCTTCTAAAAGTCTCCATCTTTAAATAAATTACATGGGTCATCAAATGAGTGTCCTAAATAACCCTAATTCTTATAAATGTTTAAGAAAAAAAAGATCTCTACTCTATAAGCTTCCATGTGCCACTGCCGATTTCCAAGAACAAGTGGAAAGTTGATTACTTTTTTTGGGTGATAGACCCTTTAAAGAATATACTCCCTCCGTCCCCTAAACAATTTCCAACTTTCCCTTTTTGGATGTCCCCTCCAAAAAAACTTCCTACTCTATTTCTTCTTTAGGAATTGAACAAGTGGTAACAAAAAGTTCTCTCATCTTAACAAATTTCAATCACTTACTTTTCACTTTCTAACACTTTTCTTAAACTCTGCAAAAGTCAAACCTAAAAGTTTTTTTTACTGATCACATATGTTATTCTTACAATGTTTGTAAAATCTCGGAAATATCTCAAGCTATAAATTAAACCCTACATGGTCTTCCACTCTTCCCTTCCCCTCCAAGGTTCAGTCCAAACAGGACCTTAAAGATTCGATCTTCACAAACAAAAACTAGTAGATGCATCCAAAAGCTGGATCAAATGATCGATAAAAAAACACAGTACCTTCAGGAACCCGATTTCTTTACATCTCTTCCCACATATCCAATATCTTTCAGAGGCCAGACCTATGTAAACAAATCATCAACCAATAGCTTAATGATCATAAACTGAAAAGGTGTCTTTAGTGTAAAACTGTGGGTAATATGATGGCTGAAAAAATTGATGCATTTGAGGGTGAACTTGAAAGAGATGTGAATTGAATAGTGTCTCTAAGTATACATAAGCAACTGCTCTAATCATATATTAGGATTTCCAGCATGCCAGGATACTCAAAAGCACCCAAAACAAGTGAGGGCATAATAACTACTCCATACAATATACATATGAATTTATTAGCAACCGTTGACCAAATATAAAGATTATAGTCAAGATTCTAGCTTTACTTGATTTGGAACTAGGGAGCGTATTAAAACATGAAATTACTAGCAATGAAACCAAAACAAAAAACAAATAAAATGAATTCAAGAATTAAACTTACAATACATATGATTCTGCCCTGAATAAGCCCATAGGGAACAGGCCCAAATTTCCTTGAATCATTGGTATTATATTTGAAATCTCCTTCAATCCAAACATGACCTTGAGGTACCTACCAAGCATCACTTCCTTTACTAATCAGTACAGAGAAAGAGAGTTCACTCCACTGTTTATGCACAATAAAACCCAAGAACCAAAACAAACTCAAAGCTTCACTCAATTGATTAAAAGAATCACTTTACCAAAAAACTGAAAAGAAAACATTTGAAAAAACAAGCTGTAAATAGAATACCCATTTGGGTAAAACCCAACAAGAACCCACACACTAGGAAGGTTTAAGGATTTGCAAGTACCACAAGAGTCTCTTCTTTATCGCAATTATTAGGGTCTGCAACAAATTTGACAGTATCACCAGCCATGCCCACCACTCGCTTGTTGATAATCTTCCTTGGGTTATCGGGACTCCGAACAAGGACTACATCTCCAGGGACTACTTCTCCAAACCGGGTCGACAACCGTTCGGCCAAGACGAAGTCTCCGGTCAAATTGAATGTTGGCAGCATACTGGGTCCCCTGGTCTGCCATGAAACAGGAAGACATGAAATTACTTGGATATTTGAGGGTTAATATAGATGCAATAATGCTTACCAGAGCAAAAGTGCAGATATAGGTGTTTGTTACGTGAACGGCGCAGAAGAATTTGGCGACCCGAAAAGTTTGAAGAAAGGCTTCTTTGATTAGAGGAGTCCATTTCTGCAGATTTCCCAAGCCCATTCTCACTGGCTTCTTTGATTAGAAGTGTCCACTTTTGCAAAGAGAAAATACATCATCACTTACAAGGGATTGTGCACACTAACACATCTTGAGAGTTGAGAGACATTACTTTTGGTTATGGACAATTGTCATTGATAACATGTTTGGCAATTTTACTGACATTACAAATCGGTTAAAGATGTTCTGACATGATACAACAACAAAACCAGTAAAATAACATACCTTGTCAGGACAAGATGTGTAGGAAAACTTTGTTAGGGGACAGAAAGAAATTATTCTTTGCACAAAGGCTTCTTTGACAAAAGGTGTCCATTTTTACAGATTGAAGAAATTGACAACCCGAAAAAAAAAACATGAAGTTTTACGGAAGTGATTAAATTCTAAAGAGAATATGCAATTTCCTTTATTTCAGTGTAACATTGAACACTTTTTCTTTTTCTTTTTTCTTTATATTTTAGTTCATGTTTTGATTTTTGCACTGTGGAATGTAGTTTGGTTGTAACTTTTAACTTTGATGATATAAATACCACTGTTATACAGAGTAAATACATCTAAGAAGGTGTATTCAGAATAGACAATTGAAGATTTGAAGATATTTGGGGAGCAGAATACATAGTCATACATATGCATATCAGTAATTATCGGATAATTCCAGATAACTATTTTCCAAATCAGTATTACCAATCTAACCATATAAATGATATTAATCATATACCTTTTTAAGTGTATTGCTATTGACCATTACCCTAAGTCCTATTTTAGTTCATGTTTTGTTTTTTGTACTATGGAATGTAATTTGGTTGTAACTTTTTACTTTGATGGTATAAATACCACTGCTATACAGAGTAAATACATCTATGAAGGTGTATCCAGAATACACAATTGAAGATTTGAAGATATTTGGGGAGCAGAATACATAGTCATACATATTCATATCAGTAATTATCGGATAATTCCAAATAACTATTTTCCAAATCAATAATACCAATTTAACCGTATAAATCATACTAATCATATAGCGTTTTAATTGTATCGCTATTGACCATTACCCTCAGTCCTAACTCTAGCTAGAAGCTGTATTGAGATAGGATGGAACACCACCTAGTTCCCGTATTGGCCGTATGTAAGGTTACGACAATAAGAGGAACCCTGGACCCACCAGGACATCCTTGGGTTCACGTGATCACACTCATGGTCTTATTAAAAGCTCATCCACTAGGACGTTATCCAAGCTTTCTTGTATCGGTAAGTACGGTTGCCCATCTCGTATTATCTAACTCGGAAATTATTAGCTAGCCTTTATGAAAACATTGTTGTATGATTTGTATCCATATTAGATCTCAGTATTTTTGTATACGAAAAACCCTTTTCTTTTTCCATTTCAGAACTCAACAACATTTCATATTTACATAGCTCAATATATCACACTCACAAAACATGCATACCAGTGTCGGGGATTAAACCCCGTAGCTTATCCATCATGTATCAAATAAAGTCTATGGAATCGATCCGATAGAATTTTAGTTTTCAGTTGAACGTGTTTCACGATCTTGGCAATGGCTATTTGGCAGTGCCGTCACTAGCTGAGCTATCGTTAGAAGCCACTGGCCCCACCGAAAGCAGCAGGGCCAGAATGGATGTGGCTTCTGATTTTGGT